TATTAGGGAAGTTTCCCTGTTCCCTTAGACTCAGACTTTAGGGTCAGAAGGGACCATTATGATAATCTAGTCTGACCCCCTGCACAATGAAGGCCACAGAATCTCACCCACCCTCTCCTAGAATAATCCTCTCACTTATATCCCAGATATTGAAGCCCTCAAATGGTTCAAGGACTCCAAGATGCAGAAAATCCTCCAGCAAGTGATCTGTGCCCCATGCTACAGAGGAACGCGAAAAACCTCCAGGGCCTCTGCCAATCTACCCTGGAGGAAAATTCCTTTCCGACCACAAATACGGCGCCAGCAAGTGAACTGTGCCCCATGCTACAGAGGATGGTGAAAAACCTCCAGGGCCTCAGCCAATCTACCCTGGAGGAAAATTCCTTCCCAAGCCCAAATATGGCAATCAGCTGAACCCTGAGCATGTGGGCAAGACTCACCAACCGGACACCCAGGAAAAGTTCTCTATAGTAACTCCTTTCATCCCTCCATTGGCCTATTTACCACGGATAGTGAAAGGTCAATTAGTTGCCAAGATCATGTTATCTCAAGAAGGTCATCAAGTCCAGCCCCCTGCTGTAGGCAGGACCAATCCCAACTAAAATCAACCTGGCCAGGGCTTTGTCAAGCCGAGATTTAAACACCGCTAGGGATGGAGACTCCGCTACTTCCCTAGGTAACCCATTCCAGTGCTTCACCGCTCTCCTAGCAAAATAGTTTTTCCTAATATCCAACCTGGCCCTCTCCCACCACAACTTGAGACCATTGCTCCTTGTTCTGCTGGCTGTTCTTCAGTAGTGACAGACTTTCTCCATCCTCTTTGGACCCTCCCTTCAGGAAGTTGAAGGCTGCTATCAAATCCCCCCTCACTCTTCTCTCCTGCAGCCTAAACAAACCCAAATCCCTCATAGGTCATATGCTCCAGCCCCCTAATCATTTTGGTTGCCCTCTGCTAGACCCTCTCCAATGCATCCACATCCTTTCTATAGTGGGGGGGCCCAGAACTGGACACAATATTCCAGATGTGGCCTCTTACCAGAGCCGAATAATCACTTCTCTGGATCTGCTGGCAATGCTCCTCTTAATGCAACCTAATATGCCATTAACCTTCTTGGCTACAAGGGCACATAGTTGACTCATATCCAGCTTCTCATCCACTGTAACTCCCAGGTCCTTTTCTGCAGAACTACTTAGGTGGTTGGTCCCCAGCCTGTAACAATGCTTGGGATTCTTCTGTCCCAAGTGCAGGACTCTGCATTTGTCCTTATTTCAATTTCCTCATCAGATTTCTTGTGGCCCAATCCTCCAATTTGTCTAAGTCACTCTGGACCCTACCTCTCCCCTTAGGTTAGTGTCATCTGCAAAGTTGCTGAGGGTGCAATATATCCCCTCATCCAGGTCATTAATAAAGATATTGAACAAAACTGGTCCTAGAACCGAACCTTGTGGCACTCCGCTAGAAACCGACCGCCATCCTGACATCGAGCCACTGATCACTACCCCCTGGGCCCGGCCTTCTAGCCAGCTTTCTATCCATCTTACCATCCATTTATCCAATCCACATTCCCTTAACTTGCTGGCAAGAATATTGTGGGAGACCGTATCAAAAGCCTAGCTAAAGTCAAGGCATATCACATCCACTGACTTCCCCATGCCCACAGAGCCAGTTACCTCAACATAGAAGCTAATGAGATTGGTCAGACACGACTTGCCCTCTGTGAATCCATGATAACTATTCCTAATCACTTTCCTCTCTTCCAAGTGCCTCAAAATAGGATCCCTTCCATGACTTTTCCAGGAACCAAGGTAAGACTGACCAGCCTATAGTTCCCTGGATCGTCCTTCTTCCCTTTTTTGAAGATGGGCACTATATTTGCCTTTTTCCAATCATCCGGGATCTCTCCCGATCTCCACGATTTTTCAAAGATAATGGCCAAAGGCCCCTCAATGACATTTGCCAATGCATCAGAGGGTACTGAGGGATTTAAGTCCGGACCCATGGATCTGTGTACATTTAGCTCTTCTAAATCGTTCCTAACCTGTTCTTTACCCACCAAGGGATGTCCATCTTCATCCCATCTTGCGTCACTTAGAGCACTTGAATAGAACACATAAATGTGGCAAAGTTCATGGTCGACTACATTCTTTGGGAGTCATGGACTGTATTTTCATGCATTACACAATGCTAGGATCGCTCTCTGAAGCATATAATAATTGTGAGCATATAGTCATTTTAATTTCTAGCTCACATGGGATTATACCAGTGTGAACGATTTTGCAGTTTTTCTAGCACTTCTCTGTACACTCTCAAATAAAGCTTAGCACTTCTACAGTGCTTCCTGTCCCACAGCCTTGTAGGTTCCAAGCACAGCATATAGGTGAGAGGGGAACTAAGCCTTGTTTTTCAAGAGAGGGGACCTGAAGCACAGAGCATTGACTTGCTTAGACCTCAGATCTGGAATTAGAAACTTGGGAGTTCCTGGGGTCCAGGCCTCTACTTGGATTAGGCCTTTCATAAACTTTGATTCTCTTGTGCTGGTTTTAAAAGTCTTTAATTATTAACAAGTGATGTACAGTGAACGCTTAGTTATCTGGTTCTCTGTTAACCAGAAAACTTTGTTACCTGGCACTGTCCCCAGCTACAACACTGCCACATCTTCAGGCATGCGCCTGACTCCTCCTGCCTCTCCACTGTGTCTTGCCACTCCACTGACACAGACTCTACATTTCCAGGAAAAATGGATGCAGTAGACTGGCTATCCTTAAGTCACTGTATCCTTGCACTTCAAAGAGGACAATTGCTTTGTCATAACTGTGGTTCTTCAAAATGGAATGTATGTGTAGACCCCTCCTGGTATGTAGCATGTTTCATGGGTGGAAGATTTCATTGTCTTCGCACAGTACAGGCAGTCCCCGGGTTACGTACAAGATAGGGACTGTAGGTTTGTTCTTAAGTTGAATCTGTATGTAAGTCGGAACTGGCGTCCAGATTCAGACACTGCTGAAACTGACCGCCAGTTCTGACTTACATACAGAATCAACTTAAGAACCCCAGGTGTCCCCAAGTCAGCTGCTGCTGAAACTGATCAGCAGCTGATTCCAGGAAGCCCGGGGCAGAGCAACTCTGCCTGGGGCTTCCTGTAGTCAGCGCTGGTCAGTTTCAGCAGAAGCTGACTTGGGGACGCCTGGGGCAGAGCAGCTGGGGTG